GCAAACACACACACACACACACACAAATCTATATGCGTCCACCATACCCCCACCCCAACCCCCTGGCAGCCGCGCCAGGTAGTAGTTGATGCGTCGGCACCGGCGCATCGCCGCGGCCATGGCCTCATCCTCCCCTGGCCAGGTCAGGACCCGTGCCACGTGACGAGTTTCTTCGCTAGGTCTTACTGCCGGAGTGCATGGCCCCGCAAAAGGTGAAAGTTTTTTGGTTTGCCACTATTATTTTCTTCTCAAAAATTTATAAAGTCCAGGAACTCGGGAAGTGAGAGATGGATTCCTCAAGGGTTTCGCAGAAAGAGGCAACCGCAAACCCTTCCTACATCTGTTCAAAACAGGACACCGTCTGCCCTGCAAATCCGATCGATGGAAGTTGAGGGCACCAAACAGCTTCAACAGTGACCAAGTAATTGCACACACCAAAAAGCACGAAAGAGAGCACTTCAAACAGAGCCTGAAACAAAAAGTACTGCTTGGTTCTCTCTTCATCTTTGAAGAAAGTAATAATTAAGCCGGAATCCGGGTTCCTTCTTCGCGCCCTGAACACATTATGAGGTCACTTCTCCTAAACTGAGGACCTCCAGACTGAGGTGATGTCCGGTTGCTGCTTGAGAAAGAGCTAACAACCCACACACACACACACTATGGCACCAAGAACGCGTTGAACCGCAGTTTTGCCTTAGAAGCTTCAACAAAGCAGGAAGATAGGGAGAAACTGTCCACTTGCACCACTCAAAACCCTAAGCCCTCATTTCATATTGCTAATCAAGGTGTCAGCAAACCTGCGCGTAGACACAATCCATCTGCTCTACAAATCCCTTCAGATCATGCTGACTCAACTGGCCGTTGCATCCTTACCACCTCGAAGCACAGCTGATAACTTGAGTTGACACAGTCCGAGGCATGTCATCAAAGGGGTGGGCATGACTTCATGCTGGAAGCATTTGCCTGAGACTCATGTTGCTTGGTCCAACAAGGGCAATTTCAAGGCTCTGCAGCAGAAGCACACAGCAGGCTCGCAAAAGAGCTGGGCGCCTCTCTACAGACGTCACACACAGATTATTGCCCTAGATGTCCTTTTGGACAACTGGATATAACTGGATGGCACTGGCTCCGGAAAAAAAAAAAAAAAAAAAAAAACTTGCGGCGTCAAAATCCATCCAACACTGCATGTGCCACAAGCACGGCTGATTCTTGCCTAAGTCAGGCGGCGCCAGTGTCTTTCCCTTTCCGGCCAAATGGCCCATTCTCAAAACAGATTTGTTTCAAAGGAAGCCCTCGTTTGGTTGGCACCAAGAAAAGGAAAGACACCACCAACTTAGGGGTCCCCTAATTCTGAGACATGTCCAAGTGCTGGCAAATTTGAGTAGCCATGGTACACCAATAGCACCGAATCGGATTGCAGGGGGTATGATCGAAACAAAGCAACCAAATAATCCCTGCCGGGTGTCTGAATCAAAACGAGTCTAAAGGAACAGTCGCATTCCTGAAAATTGGAAGTGCCGTTTCAATTTCATCAAACAGGATAAACCAAGCAACTCATCCCAGAGCAGTGAATCTCCAGAAAAACATGACACCCTACTATCAGCAACCTCCCCCCCACCCCGATTAAAGCATTCCCTTGTCCGTCCCAGATTCCAACCAATACTAAAGTAAAGGGTTGCCCAAAAACCATACCCAATATTTTGTACGTCTCCCCAAAAACCCCTGATTAAAGTTATCCCGGTGCAGCCCCCAAGCCAAAGGAACCACCAGAAAAGGGGCTTTCCTTTTTGTTTGGCATTTGCTTAGTCTGTCCTTAAACTATTGAACCGCACAACGTTTTCCCCAAAAAGGTGAATCCCCCAAAATACATCTGTCTTTATTCAATGTTGCTTCAAAATGACAAAGTGCCAAGCTCGCCAAGGGGACCTTTTCACCTTGGAAACCCCCCGCGATTCATCAGGGCCCTTTTTTGCAAGTCTTATTGCCCAGAGGCCAGAAGTGACCGAAGGGGCTCCAGATTGATCAGGAGGGGTCCTCAAAAAAATATTAGTTTTGGGGACTTGTCCAAACCTTGTCGACCTTGAAGGGGGGACTTATCAGAGGTAACCATTATTTTGGTCGGTTGACTTTGACTGGAAAGCCCCCCCCAAAAAAAAAGAGATAACAACCAAAATTGACCGAAGGTCTGGGTCGGTAAAACACCCCTTCGTGCAGGGCTCACCATTTGTCCACTCCCGCATACAAAAAGGATAAACCAGCAAGCAAGGGACACACAAACCCTTCGTCCCTTTCAAAGTGACCTTCGTGCTCTCTTCCTTCGTCGCTTTGAGCGGGCCTCAGAACGGCAGTTCTCCCCCCCCCCCCCCGCCGCCCAACACCCATCTTCCTGGAATCGGGAGTCCTTCCCGAAAGCTTCTGGGAAGCAGTCGAAACGACCGTTTGACAACCGTTTTCCCAAATTTTCTGGTCACTGCCCTCCCTTATGGGTGTGCAAAATGCCATGGGAGAGCTCACTTGAAATGCTAGCCAGAGAACGTTCACAGACTTATCACCGACAGCTTATTCGGGCAGGTGTCCATAGATACCATGTAAAATGAGATGCCTCAAACCCTACGGAGCCGATGGTCAAGACAAGAACTGGTTGGTGACCTGTTGGTGCCACCCAATCCAAGCAAATGATGATTTTGGATATGGTTCTACAGAACATTGGAAAACCCTTCTGGCTCAACAACGGCATGAACGCGCCATCTCCCAAGCCCCCCTCTGTGTCCTTCTTGAAACTGCCCCTAATTTGAAGAATCATGGCAGGGCACAAGGGGATCTTCGAACAAGAGCTCAAACTCACGACTTGCCAGCGAACGAACGAATGAATCCGGGTCTCTGAGCACTTAGTGCACGACCTTTAGGGAGTTTGGGGGTGGCCAAATAAAAAAGCACAGCAGCAACTTGTATGTGCGACTTGCCAGCCTGAAATAAAGGCTTCCTGCACAAAATCACCTTCCTGGAGGTCGCAAACCAGACGTCGATCCGAAGCAGCACAGAGTGCCACTTTGATGCCCCTCTTGCCGTGATGGTTGTGTCTGTCCCAACAGGAACTTTTTCCAGGGCGGTTTAGGCTGGCTTCAGCCCTGGCCTAGGGTTTGTTTAGCGTTTGTTATGGCTTAGGGTTGGTTTAAGGTCGGTTTAGGGCTGGCTTAGGGTGTTTAGGACTGTGTACGGTTGGCTGGGCTTAGGCTTTGTTTAGGTTTGGCTTAGGGTGTTGTACGGTTGGCTTAGGGTTGGTTTAAGGTGCGCTCAAGGTTGGTTTAGGTTTCGTTTAGGGTTGGTTTAGATTGGCGCAGGGTTGGTTTGGAGTGGCTGTAGTTTTGGTCTAGGGTTGCATTAGGGTGGCTTAGGGTCAGCTTGGGTTGGCTTAGGGTTGGTTAGGGTCGGTTTAGGGTTGATTCAGGGTCCGTCCGCCATCACAGCTTGGTGCCCGAGAAGAATTCCTGTCGATTAACAGCAAAATAATTGGCGGCATTCTCACTTGCTTGCTTGCTGATTCTCTGCTTGCCGGAACGGTGGAAAACATCCCCGTAAAAATAGCTCACCCCACTTTCAACGGATACGGGCTCAACTAGATGTCCCACTTCAAACACTCACAAAGGTAAAATGCACCTGCGAATTGGCCAAAAGGTGAGTTGTACTCAAAACCTGGCATTTTTCTGGTTGGCAAATTACCCCTCACCAACCTTCATCTGGGGTTTTGACTTTTTGGCTGAGGTGATGTTCAAAACCACCGGAAGGGGTTCCCCCGTTTCGGGCCCCGTTTCGGCCCCGCTCGGTTTCTTGGGAGCGCGGCATCGTCATGGCAGGCCGGATCGATGGCAGAAATGATCCGGAGATATCGAGAATGGATGATCTACTGACGTTATCTTTCGGATTCAACAATTTGTGCTGGAAGTCGGCTAAGCAATACTTGAGAACAATTGTCATCTTTGAAGCAGAGAGCAGCTTCAAATTGTGTCAGCTACTGGGCTGTACAGAAACTTGGCTGGTGGAATCGGGCACATGGCAACCGAAGCCTCTTCCAACAGCCTTGACGTGCTGTGCCAGTGGGTTGCTGGTCGTGCCAATCGTAGTGGAAGCCTTCTGCGAGATGCCCACAGTATGTAGGCCTTACACTTGGCTGCGGGACGAGGCGCAACCGATTGACCCAGCCCACCCCTCGTTAGTCCCACACAGCAACAGTTAAGATACTCCCTGCAACTCAACATGGACCCAAAAACATGCCTCCCTGAAACTCCTTTTGTTCGGGAGGCATCACTCTTTGGGGGCCATGGCTCTTTTCAGAATGTCTCATCTAAGCTCCTGACAGGGTTGATGCCCGCGCTACCACTGTTGGGTTGGGTTGGAAGTGTACTGTTGACTACCAACCTTTTTGCCAACCAATCACTCAGGTCTCAGAAATGTCAAACGGCCTTTGCGGACCTTCACCCTCCGAACTTGCCCCCTCCCCCCCACCCCAGGACGCGGTTCATTGCAACGGGTGTGTGTGCTTCTCATAGTTCATGGCGGCAACCATGGTTTTCCTAAGGTAATGTACTTACGCACTCCATATCCTACAAACAGTGATTTTGGGTTGCGCAGGGCTTGTGCAGGGGCCATCCATCCTGCCCCACAATACAAAGGTTGTAGGTGGGGTATATTCACTTATTCGATATTGAATCCGACCTCTGCTGCAAGCAGAATCCGCGAACTTGGCTCAAAAAAGAAACCCCCACCAGCGGCAGAGGTAGATGCAAGAGATGTCTTCAATCCAAGGCCCATCTCGCTCCATCGGGGCTCCGATTGAATCCTGTCACATTGGTCCCCTGTTTCCACCCCCCGCCCCAAGCGGCCATCGCTCCGTTTTCTTCGCCCGTGGATTTCAACCCCCAAAACCCGGACCAGGGTGATAAGGGCTATGTATAGATAACTCCCTAATCGGTACAAAGTTTGTTCAACCCGTTGGTTTTTTTTGCGGTAAGCGCGAGGTCAACCCCATCCCCTGGCCAGATGGGAGGTCCAAATTCCGACTGACTCAGGGATCCAACACCGAAGGGTCCTGAGCGCAAGCCGGAGCTGGAATCGTGTCACAGCTGGGAGCCCTTCCCAATCAACCCTAAAAAACAAGAAAGAAGTAATCCTCGAACAAGTCCCCAGTGGTGACACACGACACCTTGCTCTGTTGCGTGGAATCCCAAGACTTTGGATGACCAGCCCACCGCCCACCTAAGTGGTCAGCGGCTCCGAAACTCGGAGTTTGCTTCACGAGCCAACGACAGACATGCGCGTGTTTCAAGAAAATCGATAATGGTCGTTCCAGTCGGGCTTGAACTCAAACAACAAAAAGTGTTTGTCGCCAGTGGCAGAACTGTGTCTTTCAAACTACGGCAGCTGAAAGATTTCACCAACACGGGCGATGAGTCTAGGTTCCTGACGCAGGCTTAAGGGAGCGGACCCCGAAAACGCGACCTTCGCAGAAAGGGCTTACACAAAGGCCTGGCTGTAATCCCTACACAACCAGGGAGGAATACTTCTGAAGTCGGCAAAAAAATGTTGAACAACTGCTCAAGCTGATGTTAGTTATGGCCCGAAAATTGACGGGGCGTCCTTTCAGAAAAGCTTTTTCAATGCAAGCCGAAAGGAAACCTCCCATCTTGTTCGGGGGTCTCTATTTTGAGACACAGCCACGCGGTCGCCACCTTCCCTACTGCGGTCGGCCCGTCCTGCTTCAACAACTCCTTGCGCTCCTGAGGCGAGGTGACGCATTTGGAAGAAAAGTTGTTTGTTTGGGGGAAGCGACTTATCAAAGGAAGTTTGGTTGGAAAACTTCCGTAATGCGAACAGTTGAGACTGCAGAGTCTTGCAAAGAAAGAAAGCAATCAAGAAATCCGAAGAAGAAATACAAAGAAGGAGATAGACAAGGAAGGGATTCTGTGGTAGGCGCAGCATATTGCGTTTGGCGAGATTGCGAAGGAACCTCTGTTTCAGGCGCAGCATTTTGTATCAAATGGTCTCAGGACTCGTGACAGGCGCAGCACTTTGGGAAGCTGAGCAGCGCGGTTTGCAAATCGCTTTGGAGTGGATGCGCGAGCTGCTGTGGCCGCAGGATTCTCGCACCCTGAGGTGCAGATTTCGTGGAAGGTGCAGCAGATAGAGATCCAATGGAAAGAGATACGGAGAGGGCAAAACAAGAACGGGAAAAGGAAAGAAAAGGTACAGAAAGGAGGAAAGAAAGAAGGGTATGAAGAAAGAAGGGAATAAACAAAGATGGGAATAAAGAAAGAAATAAAGACAGAAAAACCGAAAGACAGAAGGAAGAAAGCAACGACAGAAAGAAGGAATGGCATAAAGAAAACATTCCTCCTTATAGGTATGACCCTTCGGACACTTCCAGCGAATCCAGATCCTGGTTCTGCAAGCCAAGGGGTCAGGGCACAGGTTTTCCGGGCACTCCAACGACTGCAAGGCACAGGGCCCGAAACCAGGTGCTCTTGTTGGACGGGGATAAAATGTGGCCCTCTTCAGCAAACAAACAAACAAACCAGTCAAGCAAAACCTAAATGGCAACAACAGCTGCCGAAAAGACCAAGAGCTCGAAAGCTCCGGCTGCGGTGGTTTTTGGTTGAATTCCCATGTTTTGAAATCACATTCTCCGAGCTGGTGCCTTTTTTGGATGTGCGCCTGGGGCCGGAAACAAGGCTTCCTCGACAGCCTTGTGTTTTTGTTGCCGGATTCACGCCTGCCGGAGACATGACCTAACCATAGGCGTCCTTTTAGGGGAAATAGATGGCCCTGGTAGATGATTAAACCACCAGGTAAACCAGGGCCATCTATTTTTCTACCAAAACAACCAAAAAGGCCACCTATGGACCAAACCCTTGTTTCCTGCGGGAATCCAAAACAAAACCAGACTCTCGAGGAAGCCCCCCCCCAACCCCAAACCACAAAACAAAAAGGAGCTTGCCCATTTGCCCCCTGGGATCTGAGGCCCGCGCTTTGGCGCCACATACCGCGCCCCCGCCAAAGGCCACGGCTGTGCCGTTGCCCCGCAAGCCTCCACAGCTCTCGAGGTTTTGGGGACGCGCTGTTGGTTCAAACTCACCTAAAACTTGGCCCACATTTGGGGGTTGCACCGAACAAGCGCTCGGATTCTGTTTCTTGTACCCAATAAACTCGTTTCGGAGAAAAAAACACTTAGGCTCTTATGTCCCTTCAAACATCAAGAGAAGACAACTCTATCAACATTGGCAACCAACAGGTCATGTTCAAACCACCCAAAAAGGAAGTGGGTCTTTGCTTGAGGGTACCTAATTTGAGGTTTGTTTAAAAGGTCAATGAAAGGTAAACCGACAGTGTTGGGGTTTCCCTATTTTGCAAGAAAAAACAAACATATACAAGGACCCCGAACTAATGCCGTCTGGTTTCGAGTGCTATTGGTCAACAACCCCTAAGGGCATTGGGCCACGTCCCCCCCCCCACTGCACTCAATCACACCAGCACAACTCCTTTTCTGCGGAAATTTCGGTATCCCCTAGTGAAAGACCTTCAGCAAATTCATGTTACCCTAAGGTGAGCTTCTTACAAATTATGTTTGGCACAAAATGGGGATGTGGTTTTGGAGGGTGGGTGTATGTTGTTCAAACGGACGCCACTCAATTGGTCCCCCAATTTGGACACACAACCATAACCCTCGATCGGATTGGGTCCACAAGCTTCATCCTGCAAAAGTCGCCAGCGAATGGATGCAGCTTGACCACTCGGGATGTATTGCAAATCTGTACAGACATGTCATTGTGCGGGTATCTGACAGAATGTGGCAAGCTAGCTTTTTCAGCCAGGTTTGTTTTCCCTGATTAGGAAATTGAGGTATCTAGTACCTATCAAGGGGCCCCTTTCATTTCGAAAACAACAAACAAGGACAATCTCCAGCCCCGAACCCTCCCACCAACCAAAGCAATTTCCTCCCGGACCAAGGATTGGACTTGGCGCATGGCTGTTGCTTTTGATGCCAGCTGCCATTTTCTCTTCGAGAGGAAAACATGAACCATCATTTCTCAACGGATCTGTGGCCATGCGCCAGCCTTCCGTTGATATAGGGAGACTGGGTGTCTGTAAAGCGCAACCGAACAAATTGCGCAGCGATGGACCCCAATAGCGATAGGACCAGCCCGCTCTCGAAATGAATATAGCACGTTGGCTGGAGAGAGGATCTAGCAAAGGGCAGGGCTGGCAGGAGGCGGTAAGTCCAAATTTGAGTTGCGTCGCACCGCTTGAGATGTCCTTCCCAAGAACGCAAACAATTGAGACAAGATATATGGTTTCGGCTTCTTACCGATCGTACAAGCGCAACCTCTTACAATACACCTTGATACCTCCACCAAAATCTAGCCTTAAACTTGCACAGCTGTATCTTCACAAACTCTGGGCAAAGCGGGCATCATTCGGGACACGTCTGGCACACCACCAAAACCACCACCAAGATACAACAAAGCTGGGACAGGGCTGGGACAAGCGGGACACCACCAGAACACCACCGAAACTCAACCTACCACCTGGATACCATCAAAACACCACCAGGACACCAGCAGCACACACCGGAACACAACCGGAACACCACGGGACACCACCAAATCACCGCTGGAACACCACAGGACACCGGACATCGCCACGGAACCGAAGGAATGAATGCACAGACACTTTCCAGGTAAAAGAGTTTAAGACCCCGTAGCTGAAGGCTATTGGGAAAATAGTTGGAAGCAGGCTGAAAACACAAAAGACTGAAAGGCACTTGAACCAGTCTGAATGCCCCCCCACCAAAAAAAGGCACTCTACTCCAACTCTCCACCCCCCAAACAACCCACCAAACCCACCAAACCCACCATAACCAAGCCAAAACAAGGGCATAAACAAGCCGAAAAACAAAACCTAAACCTGATTTCGCCCCAAAACACCGAGCTCCTTCCCCGCCTGGCGGCGCCCTCTCGCCGTCGCCCGATGACCCCGGCCCGGGCGCCTATGCGCATGTGAATGAGACATGGGAGCGTGTCAAAGGGGACCCTGTTTTCCATTTGGCTCTTTAAACCCACCAAAAAACATCACCAGAGGAATGTGTAGTAATCTTCTCATGGAAACCTCGCGTAACAATCCCACAGGCCGTGGGGGGTGGATAGGGACCTGGAATTCCTAGAGTCCTGGAAATGTCCGCGCGTGGCAAAGCGTGTCTCCGGAAGCCTACCTCTGAGCTGCGCTGGTCACTCCGGAGCAAATCTAGGCAGAGACCCCACAGAGCCCAAAGTTCGCCTTCCAATTCCTTCACACACCAATAACCTGGCCTCAGCCAACTGGACCACCCCCCCCACCCCCCAACCACCACCCCCCCCCACCCCCCAACCACCACCCCCCCAACCACCACCCAACCACCCACCCCCCTTGAAGCCCGCGCCTTGCACAGCACCTCGCCCTTGGAGACCACCCGGGCGGCCAGCTTCCCCGCGAGGATTGCGCCCTCCATGGAGCCCAGGAACTTCTGGCTCCTCGGCCGGGCGACGCCGGCGACGCCCGCCCCGGGCCCGGGGTCAGGGGGGTCGCTTTTTTTGCCGCCTGTGGTGGAAAATGATCCACCCCTTAAAATATGCGGGATTCCTCTTTGAGGGGGGTCGCCAATTTTCTCACCAAAGGTGGCAAAAAGACCCCCCCCCCTGGCGGGGATCCGGGTGGTTTCGACCGGAAAGCGCGACGAACTCGTTCTTCGCAAAACGCGCGGAGTCACCAGGAGCTAAAGCGACGGAAAGTCGGCGTGTTCGCAAAACCCGGGGATTCCGGGGAACGGACGAAACCACGAAACAGGATGTCTGTGAAGAAAATGGCGAATGACCAACACAGGAGTAAAGACAACTACAAGAATGGTGGTGAGAATGACAAATAGAAGCTGGAAGTGAAAGGTTCCTTCCAGATGTGGGCTCCACAAATTGGCTGACCCGATGCATGCCAGCTGGGAATTGAATATCGGCTTCAGGTGGTCCAAACATGCTTCGAGGATGTCACTTTCATGGACTCAGACGTGGCACAAACAGAAATGCTTGACTTCACACCATGCAAAAACTCACTAGACTGGACACAGCCTCAGTGATTGTACTTACGTGTATCAAGATGGCAGGTTACCCTTGGCTTGAATATTTCATCACAAGATTCCCACCCTTTCCGGGACCCTCCCTGGGTTTCCTCCAAAGGCCTCTTTGGTCCTTTCAAGAAATTTCTTTCGGCTTTGGTCGCAAATCGGTACCCAAACCATGGCCACCTTAGAAGCACCACGCACCAAACACGGAAGCCAAAAGAGCCAAAGGTCGGCTTCCTTTGGATAAGTGCGGGTGTCCCCCCGCCACAAAAAGATGGAAAGGCAAGAGACTACCCTGCCGGGCGGAAAAAAAAACAGGTGCCGCCAACCAACTGTTAAAAGAACTGTTGAACCTCTGTTGTTTAAACCACCTCCTTTGAGCTTCCCTTAAAGAGTGCCAGGGACTGGTTCTTCAAACATATTTCGCCCGAAGCAACACGCACGCCCGGCCATGGCGCGTCCAGTCCCCCGCCAGAGTGAAGTTCCGGATGGGAGTCGCCTGGCACGAAACTCGCTGCTGGAACCGGTACAGTCGACCTGATTTAAACATGGGGGGGATTCCGGGTGGAAAAGGAACCAACTTTGGGAGTTGACACTTTATGTAGTGGCGACTATGATCAACATGCTGGTTGTATATCCCATTCAACCCTGGGGGTATATAGTGGTTTGGGGGGTAGCGGAAACAATCTTGGCCAACATGTTCAAAAACGACCCATTTAATTTCTGCCATGTCAATTACGGGGGCTCGCCTTCCAGCATTGCTCGTCTGGATCAGGGTTCCCTGTACAATATTTCCCCAAAAACACATACCCAAACCAAACAAAACGAAAATGCCCTGCGGATCCACAGCGAAACCCCCACCCGCCACAACAACCCCCTCCGTCGGATGATCGCCTGGGAGGGCCGAAACTTGTTGCGCCCCGGCAGCGCGGCGTAGACGCTGCGGGGCACCTGGCGAGAGATTCCAACGCAAAATCGGGGCCAAGAAACAGAGGTGTCCTTGTAGGGGGGAAATAGATAACCCTGATAGATGATTAAACCACCAAGTAAACCAGGGCCATCTTATTTTATAGCAAAACAACCAAAAAGGACCTATGCTCCACGGGGCTCCCATAAGTCAATGAGAGTCGTTCTGGTACATGATCAGAAACCTGGGCTGTCCGTTTTCTGATCCCCCGCTAACAGTGACTCACTTTTAGTGGGTTAAATGGAAACTACCACTAAACGCTAAAAGGCTAAAAAGCTAAGGGGATGGATGGGGAGCCACCAAGAAACTACTAACCCCGAATCGGTGAGCTCATCTATTTGCGCAAGCATCCCCATTGCAGTCCGCCAGGCCTGGGTCTATGGGAATGTGGTATCACCTAAAACCCCATCTATGCTCAAAGTTCCAAGGGCCAGGAGAGAAAAAATACCTTGGAATGGAAGTCCAAAGGCCCAAACCTTGTGCACAACCACCTCCGACCTAAAAGGGAGAGGGACGTTGGAATCCTATCCCTAAGCCCTCAAAAACACCTGTTTTGAGGCATTGGCATGGAGGAATCCTGCACTGTTAGGCCACACTTTTAGGCAATTTCCTACTGGGGGGTTCCAAGCAGGTTGAGGGAACCCTATCCCAAAGAACCCAGAGCTTTCAACTACCCCCCTCGTACCTCCCTCAGTAGAAATTCCAACTTACAATCACCCCCCTTGTACCTCCCCGCCCTTAGAAACTCCAGAAGACGTTTGTCCACCAAGGCCATCGAAAACGGTTGCCCCGGCGCCGACCTTCACCACCACGGACTTCCGCAGCTGGGCGGCGCCCTCAAAGTCCCCCAGCTCCGTGGGGAAGAGCCGCTGCAGCTCCTTCATGGTGGCCTGGCGCTGGACGCTGAGGCGCTGGACGGGCTGAGGTTTGCACCCTTCAAATGGCTGTGGCTCAAAAACATGGGCACCAAAATGGCACCCTTGGCAAATGGAACCAAAGACTAAAACCTGCGTAAACCCAGCTTTTTAATTTTCAGCCACACCCAAATCCACATCTAGGTCCTCCAGTAGAGAGGATAGAATAAGGGTGCCCGATTTTTTTTCTGTAGTCCATTTTAGTAGGGGATGGCCATGGGTCAAAATCCAAAGCCAGTAGCCCCAGTGAACATCAACCAATCCAACCAGGAACAAAAGGTTCTAAACTGGGTGGTGAATTCACCTACCCCAAAATGGTACCATTGGTTTTGACCCAAATCCACATAATACATTGCGAAATCGCCAGAATGAGGGGGGTGGTGCGCTAAAACCAGATGCAGTCGTGATAACCTGGTCGCTGGACGCTCAGCCCACCCTTCAATCCCTGGGGCGAAATCGCCAGGGGGGTGGTGCGCTAAAAACCAACAGTCATGATAAGAGGGGATCAAGGTGTGTAACTATTCAGAGCAGGGGACTGCAGTGCATTGTGTTGCGAATTGCTGGACCAGTGTAAATTGCATGTCGATTCTGCTGTCTTTAGGGATGTGTGCCAATGCCTGTCTTTGCTGCGGTCCAATATTTTCCTGTGTTTCACCCACACAAAAGAAAACTTCGAGAAAACAAACAAACACAAGCCAAAACCGACAAAAAACATAAAACATCTCAGACGCTCTTTCTAGAAGTAGCCACTCACTGTGCCAAGAGTTCAGGGAGAATGTTGTTGTTGTTTTTTCAGTGGTTTGGTGTTTGGGTTTCCTCAAGGACTTGTTTGGCATGGCTTTGGGCAGGGCAGTGGATTGCTTTTTATTGAAAGGACTTCATACTCAAAATTCCAGTACAACATGGGAATTCGAGTTGAATAAATTGTGCCTGAATGTTAACTTCTGTGCAAAAGAACATTCTTATGGAGAGACGTGCTCGCAAAATCTAATTTGAATCAGCATCATTGTTATGTAACATTATGCCGTGAATTAGACTTATGTTTGCATTATTTCGTTATTCAATGTCAATGGTAAAGTTCTATGTCCAACGGGAGTCGGAACAACTGCATTGCATTCAAAATCCAATTTTCAGAGAGCGGCCGTTGGTGGAGATGTAAAAGTAGTAGGAAAAACGCTACAAAACACTGTTGAACTGTGTTTTCTGACCATGGTAGTACTGGGGGCTAGGTAAAAACTCTATTTTTGGACCTCTGAATTATTTCCTTATGAAATTGTACTCGATCTCCTTAATCAAATTTCTACTCAAATTCTAACTGACTTTGAATAGAATCCAATAAGGACAGAATCCAATCAGGACATTTATTTTTTACTAGAAGTCGAATAATGATTGTATAAGATTGTTCTATGTCAAGTTATGTTCGCACAGGATTTCTTTTTCAACAGCTGTTGCTTTACATATCAGTTAACATTCAACTTATTCAAAAGGAGCTCACCATAAGCCAAGCAGTGCAAGCACTACAGACTTGCATGCATGAGCAGATCAAACATAGCAACAAGTGCACTGCCAGTCTCCTGCTCTCCAACTACTTTGTCTTTTACAGGCAATCTTTGGCCCTAGTTCAGAGTACGCAGAAAGACATGAGAAAAACATGAGCCGTTTCATAGTTAATCAACCTTGAAGAATGTGATATTGAACGACATGGGTGTCTTCTTTAGGGGACCCCAACAATGAATCCCAAAAAGGGTGTACCCTCAAAACACACACACCCACACACACACACATGAGTGATGCCAGCAATTCGGAATGCCAACTAAACATGCACCAAACAGGGAAACCCAAAGGATTAAACGGCCGGCTTTGGACAACTGAGATGCGAAGTTTCGCCGCTATACGAGCGACCAGGGAGACACTCAGAACTCAGCTGAAGGCGTCTTCCCCTCGTGCCCGAACGGCTTTTCCAGTTGCATGTGTGACGGCTCGAACTCGCAAGCCCCAGAAACTCAGCACATACCCAACTGGGGAACACGGCTTGAAGCCCCTCCATACATCAGTTCCCTCCTTCCCCACACAGGAAACATGTGCGGAACAGGGCCCCCTTTGCAACATCACCCCATCACAAAGAAGCAAACTTTGAGATGGCCCTGACAATACAGATTGAATCGCTCAGAAAGACGGTGAATAAAGGCCCAAATAATTACACACATCGAAATATGATCAATCCTATCATCATGGCTCAACTTGGCTCTAAAATACTTCCCAACACCGGTTCTACTGTTTAGGGCTTCGGCCCTAGTATTAGGTACCCCTAAAAGGGTTCTGGCATAAATAGGTCCTGGGATGCGACACACATGCTTCTCCGTTGGCTCAAGCTGGAACCCATCCATTAGAGATTACAGAATGAGAAGCACTGTTGCATAGACTTAGGAGGTGGTCCCGCATTGACATTCTGTCGCCTCGACAATCTCCTCGTCGCTCTTGGCGATCCAATTGGTGCTACTCCCGGCAATGGCGGCACAAGGGGCGAACACTAGCTCCAGCATCGAGCGCTCGTCATCCTTGTACTCCTTGCCAAGTGCGTCACAACCCAAAGGGGCCTTGGTACCTTTTGAGGATGAACCTAAGAAGTAAAAAGAGGTCAAAGTACATCCGAGGCACTTCCATCTTAGGATATCTAGATCCACATCTCCCTTTTGGGGACAGTCTTTGTTGGGCTCCATGGTAATTTGCGTGGTGTGATTCAGAGGGCCATTGCGTCCCTGCCCAACCCAAGGCGCCAACTAGCTACCTGGCTACCCAGCTCGTTAACTCTCGAAAGTCGTCCTGCCACCAAAGCCTGGGTGTCCCTGATATATCGCCCTGCACGGAAAAGAAGGCCGACAGAAGCAAGGGTTCTTTGTTTGTGAATCTACATCAAGACCCCTCTTGGGTTCATCATTTACGTCGGGGTTTATGTCCAACCGCTTTTGAAAATGTTCTGCACCAAATCCCGGCCAAGCCCCATCAAATGAGGCCAAACAAGGCCAAAGAAGGCCCTTACTCTTGTGAGGGTCTTTGGGACGTGGTTTCAGGGCCTCCCCAAGCTCAAGAAACACGCGAGTCACAACCAAAATAGTGAGCAATTGCGCCCACAGGGCATGGGAAACAAAAAAGCTGTGAGAGGTTCCAACCGCCTCAAGGTTGGAATGAATATGTGGCCGCTCGGGATGTGCTATTGCGCTTAGACTGTGAGCACCAAGGAATTGGGATATGTGAGGGCGTTTAGGCCACTTCCGTAGAGAGCGGGACACCCGGGTTTGTCTCAAAATAGAGAGCCCGCAAACATGAATGGTGTTCCTTTGGTTGCCCTTAAAAACTTGACAAAAAAACGGGTACCTCATGGGTTTGGAAAGTCTCCTTTTCTATACCAAAAGGGGAATATAATCCCCTTGACTACGTCCTTCCCTTGGTATCGGGACAAGTGGCAACCCAAACCATCTAATTTAGAGAACCATGCATACCTTTGACGGTCCTTGCAGCAAGTGCTCATATCCGCATAGACTGAGAGCAAGTCGGAGCGGCTGAAGCAGAGCGCATCGATGTTCTTCAGCTTCCGGTCGAACCACAAGTGGATGTTGATCACTGGAATCCCCTCGAGGTTGTCCAGCTGCCTCACCGGCAACTGAAATGTTTTACAGTAACTCTTTTTGGATGCCGCCCGTTGCGTGGCCGCCTTGAAAAAAGGGGATACCAAGAAGGCCCCCCAAAAAAAATGGACCCCACAAACGTGGTCTAAACCCCCGAAACTGGTTTTGGCTTCCTAGGACTAACCTTCACATGTCTACGCCCGTGAGCTGACAATCCCCTACCAACCCAGTAGGGTCTACTGGCTGCCCAGGCAGGTTTTTTGTGTCCATTTCTTCACCCAGAACCCGCCAATCGGATTGAGCCCAGGGTTGTCGCTGGTGTGCGGGGAATTTATCAAGAGTGCCATTTGGGTCATTCCCCAATAAATCTCAGTTAATGATTGCAGAAAACCCTTGAATCCTTCTTGTCCATGGGATATGGGGAGAAACGCTGCTTAGTCAAACCAAAGAGCGCGCGAGGAATAGCAGGTGTCCGTTTCCCGAATCCTTTTCAGGGAGGAGTTTGCATACCTCCAGAAGGAAGTCGTTAAACCAGCGGTCCCACATGTCACCAGCGAAAGGCCTAGACTAGTCCAAAAATACACCCATTTCTGCGTTCGATCAATGGACTCTGAGCAATACACGGATGCGCCAAGGGCAAAACTCTTTCGTGTGAGCCATGCTAATGATTCCCTTGCAAGGAACCCTTACAATGGTTGCCTGAGGTTCATGGAGAGATTCATCACCATCCTTAGTAACCACAAAGCAAGTCCTCTTGACCATGGTTCTGCTGATCAGCGGACGAATTTATTGACGTCTGGCTCTGCCCAAATGACTGCAAAGTTCTACATAGGCCTGACTCGCAATTCCGACAGCAGACCCCCCTACTAAAATGGCCAACGATAATCTCACGGTCAATGCTTGCGCCCTACAAACAGATAGCAATGGTAAATGGTTGGACACTGAAACCAGTGCCATGAATTCTCTGAATTGTCAAACAGACCACCCCCGCGCCTGAAGAAGGGCATGGCCGACCATTTCTTCGGCAGCAGCCTCTTCAACACGTCCACCGGCAAGGCAGACACATACTCGTCCGCCTTCAGGGTCTCGCCGTTTCGCAGCTGCAGGTGTCTCACCGAGCCGTCCTGACTTGGAGTCACCATGTCTCCATTCAGCTTCCCTCACAAAGCACGGTTTCCATTGGAGGTTCGGCGGTTTTGCCTTCACCCTCTACAAGAACCATCAAGTCCCACCAATCCAGCCCACCAACGCAGAGTTTCCTGACTAAGGGAAGGATGGCTACAGGAGAACCAAAGGACCCAATGCCCTGTTGCCTTAGTCATTGTTTTCTTGTGATCTCCTAACCGATGGTGGTTTGGGCAGTGTTGGGTTGAGAGTAACCCTCCCCGTCACGGCAGAGACACGGCCTTGTTCTCCTGCCCTATGCTCATGATTTACATTGGTTCAAGTACCCAAAAGCCCCATTCGAACTACTTGGGCCCTTACATTGCTAGCACCCAAGCAGGCGTGTTTCACTTATGGCTTTCCTTATAGCTGGCAGAGACAAGCTTTCAGCTGTTCGGGGAACAAACAGAGGCACCAAAAACTGGTGCCAAGGCGTTTTGCTGCTTTCTGGTAACTTCCATTTGCTTCAGCTGCCAGGAAAAAGCTGAAAATATGTCAAGCAGTGATAGGTTCCCTTAAACCCAGAGTAAAATGAAACATACTCTTCAGCAAATGGAAGGATTGGTTGGGTTGGGTTAGTCTTTTCGGCTGCTTGAAGCCATGTCCAGGGTGAGTTCTTGTGGACAATCACAAGGGCCCGGGATTCGGACGCATCCCATCCTTGGCCGCATCCCATCCATGGCCTTGATGCAAGCAAGCCGTTCCCTTTAAACCCAACAGAGGAAAATAAAGCATGTTCTTCAGCAAATGAAGGTAAACAAACCAGAAACATCCCAAAACCAGGGCTCTCCTCCTCCAGCACGATCTCCTCCACGACCGCGCTCAGGCGCACCTCCCCCCCGGCCGCTGAGATGTGCTGCACCATGGGCGCACAAAGGCCTTCGCTCGCGCGGGAAGGATTGCGTCGGAGCCGTCCAGGTCATCTGGGTGCTAAAAACAGGGGGACAGGCCCTGACAAACATGAACAAAACTCGCCCAGCGATTTGTTGGCTTCCCTTTGTGGAAATGTAGTAGTACTGGCTATTCTGCACCCAGTCATGGGGCTGGAAGCATGGATGATCGTTCAAGTGGGGCTGCGGACAAAATCCTGCGCCAGTTGGGATAGTTGAAACCCACTCAATACTGGGATACAACACCTAGCAACGGACCTACCAACTGGTGCGAAGTGGATTCTGTCCATCCAGAGTATCCGCCTTGGGGCATGTTGAGCTATGGCATCTGGAAGACTTAAGAATGTTGTTGCCGCCTCAACTTGTATCGGTCGGTGGTACAAAAGGCTCTAGCTCGATACCTCCAAAACTCATACCTCACAATGGCCATTCGCAACCTACCCTCAAACCAAAAACAGAACAGGTCATTGACCCATCCCTGACCCCACGCTCAGGAACGCTACAACCTGTAGTTTTTCCCTCCCCCGAAAAGCCAGCCCCCCTTTGCACAACTGAGAAATGCTCATCATACAACCCAAAAAGCGAAAAACACATCCTCTCCCCTTGAAGTTAGACGCGCCGTAGCTTTCAGCTATCCAGGGTGCAAGACCTGGCCACGAACCATGCGAGTGGATTCCTGAGGGCTTGTCAAGGTTCAGCCGACCAATTGGAATCGAAGGAAAGCCCCAGATCTCAAATCTTTGAACTAGAAGAGTACATTGAACTAAGCAATCATCTGGGCAAGTCCCTCTCATTCACAAACCGAAAATGAGAATCCCCCAATTGAAGGACCTTCATCATGGACGAACTCAGCTCACTTCCAACTGAGCTCGTCGTAATTTGTGCAGACTGCTATGGAGCAACTTAAAACCTAGTCCTGTAATCATATGTTTGAATATAAGAAACGCACGGTTTAATTTACCGGCAACAATTACAAGAACATAGGCAGATCCCAAAATGTCCTTTAAGCCAAGACCAAAAAGGGTACCAACAAGTGGTTAAGTTGTTGTTCAATTCCTCCCAAATGGCTGTGGGTCAAAACCAATGGGATCCCATTTTGGGGTAGGTGCACCACCCATGTTAGAACCTATTTTAGTGGTTGGATTGGGATGTTCACCGGGGGTACGGGCTTTGGATTTTGACCCATAGCCAAATGGTTGCGAAGCCTTGCACGTGAAGCCAAGGGGCGGTCTGGCTGATTGCCGTCCAGGAAGGCGGTCTGACTGCCGTCGGTCTCGTTGATGAAGCGGTTCATTGCCGTCAGCACCACCGTCATGGACAGCCTGACGTCGGGTGCGGGACAAACTAGGCGTGTGTCTGTGTTTTGTACCCCCAAAATAGTGGTTGTCCCGTAAAACCAGCAAAAAAAAGGTGTACCCTCAACAAGGGTAGGAACTTGGAGTCCCAAAATGGTGAGTATATCTAGGGTGCTCAAGAGTGCTTGCTTGTGTGTCAGCACCCTCGCAAAACCCTCACACACACACACATTCTGCAGGTGGAAAATGAGAGTGTGCACCATGATTGGAGGTTGGCTTAAAGAAACACCGAAAGAAACGCTCCCCCTAGCAGCACGTGCCCAAGTAGAGACCCTTCTTGTTGAGTCCCATGACTGCTTGATAACTGCCGACCACGGAAGCCTGGCTGGAGGGTCAAGGGGGAAGCAAACTCGGCTTGTCTCAGGCTAAGAAACACCGCATAACTGAATTACGGCTCAAACTCTAGGGAGCCAAGCCTCCCTTTATTGTATATATATATATATATACATATGACACGTATGCGCACCCCACACGCCGAATGTATGGCTGGTGTCTATGCCTTCCATCTGGAATATGCACAAGACAAAGGGCAAACACCGCAGGCGCATGCAACCTTCTCTAGAGTATACCACCTGGAGCTACAGTTCGAAAATGTTCGCGGGTTTTCACATGATACTTTTGTCATTGGATGCTTGTGTTTTAGCTGATAGCAAGGAAAGAGAAATCGCCCAACGGGAAGTTGACAACCAAAAGATCCACGTGAAAAAGCCAGAGCTTGGGTCTTCAAACTGGCTCCAGGGTTAAGATACATGTTTTTCAGCAAGGGCGCTGGCCCCGGTAGACTGGTTTGTCTCATGGCATTTCTGGAGCCCATGGCATTTCTGGAGCCCCAAGGAACCCGAAAAACGCAACTGTGAACCTGAATTAAGGAATAAGGGAGCTTTGATTGGTGAGCCCGTTGTGTAGGCAAGCCACTGCAATTGCTATGGGAAGCCATCATGCGAGAACTAGGAGGGGACCCCTGCAAAATGGTGCGGTTCTCCTCTAGGTTTCCTGACCAAGCTGCAAAGGTTGCCCTCACAAAACAAACACACGTACACACACACACACTTTCAAGAGACACAGTCCGCATGTGTGTAGAAGGTATGAGGGTGCCATATTGGGGGGGTTGCTCAGAAACGAAACCGACAGGAAAAACAGCTAAAACACACCACCTGGCTTCCCCTGTCGGATCGGGGGCGTGTTCACAACTCACCGTGGTGTGTACCCTTTTTCTTTTTCTTTTTTTTTTTTAAGTCGTGGGCACGAAGAACTGGTCGGCAGCTCGCGAGTCGGCCGCTCCTGTCGGGGTCGATGAAGTCTAAGGCCTTGGCCATGGGGATGAAGACCTTCGCTCGGAAAAAAAATGCTCGAGCCGGGCTTTGGGTTCTGGGGGTCACCAGGGCGGGGAAAGGAAAGGTAGAACACATGAGTCGTACTCAAAACCTGGTACACAAATTGTCGACCCAGAACCATGTAAAGAATTAAGAAGGCGGCCGCTGCTATTTATGGCTGGGATTGTCCCTTACTACCCTCCAATTACCCGAGTTTTGATTGTGGCTCATATGGAGCTCTTAAAACTCCGAAACCGCAAAACCTGGAAAGACTTGGACGCCCAGGACCCAAAGACACGGTACCCCGAAATCTATCTGAAGAGGCCAAAGTATTCAGGTTGAGCCTCAGCCTTTAAGCCCCAGCTGAATATGGTTTCCCAACACATAACATTTATCATGGCGGGGTGGATTTAATTATAGGGAAAGCGATTAAGCCGAATAAGGGAACCCCCCGGCAAAGAGCTCCCAAGGGGCCACTAAACAATCACCTTAAAATATATGAACGGCAAAGATGTAATCCCCCCATACAACTCGTTCCCCCAAAATGTTCACTTTGTTTCACTCTTCTTGCCAAACCCCGAATGTAGCGCGCTAGATAGATTTCTGCACTGCATGTCCTTCGAGAGTTCCTCCCTGGGCTGGCATGGACATCTGCACAGGGAATTTCGTTCAAACCAGCTCTTCACACCAGGTCTGGCGACGGTACTGGTGGTAATTTTGATTCTGAGTGTGATGCAGATGACGATGACGATGATGACAATGACGATGACGACGACAAAAACAAAATTGATCGTGGTGATGGTGATGATGGTGATGGGGATGAGGAGGAGGAGGAGGAAGAAGAACAGGATGGGATGGGGAAGACGATGAAGATGAGGACGAGAACGAGGATGATGATGAGGAGGAGGAGGATGAAGAGGATGAAGAGGATGAAGAGGATGAAGAGGATGAAGAGGATGAAGAGCATGAAGAGGATGAAGAGCATGAAGAGGATGAAGAGGATAATAAAAAAGAGGATGAAGAGGATGAAGAGGATGAAGCTAATGAAGAGAATGAGGATGATGATGAGGAGGACGGGGAGGATGAGGAAAAAAAGGATGATGATGAGGAGGAGGGTGATGGTGATGGTGATGGTGATGGTGATGGTGATGGTGATGGTGATGGTGATGGTGATGGTGATTGTGGCGGCGGCGGCGGTGGTGGGATGGCGTGTTATGAACATGCTGATGATGATGACATGTTATGACGCCATCAGACCACACGCGCCCATCCTTCCGACTTTGCACCGAGGCACCTCCTGGATGATGCGGTCCGGCATTCCGTACTTGCCTCGGCACTGGTTCGGGTCCGAAAGGTGGAACTGGAGCCTTTGAGAGGAAGGCGCAAAACGGGACAACCGGAGAAGGGTGCCAGTTGCCAGTTTCAGGGGGCCCCCTCTTTGGGGGTACCCAGCTTCTCCGAGATCCGCCGCGGGATACAAACAGCGAGCCCAATAGATCCGGCCAAGCTGTCAAGCGGAAGCGGAAGCACCCCGGTTCGCGATGCGCAAGCACGCGTTTGCTACACGGGCGCGTCTTGCTGTGAGAGTACCTTTTTGCTTTGGGGGGGGGGCTTGTGTTCCCTTCCCTACAGATTGACGTGGAACCTACAAAACCATGAACAACCTCAGTTGTTTGAGGAATCCCCTTTTGCAGGATCCCTATTGTGTGCCATTGTTAATTTGCAGGGGAGTACAGCGAAAACAAGCAAACATGTTTGTCCGCTTTTCCTCGGCAAGGGGCGGCAGAAGTCCGTGACCGACAGCTCATCCTGGAAGTTGGGCTTGGACCCAAGAAGGGTTCG